AAATTAATTATAAAATTATATATAATAATCTGTTCAATTAATAATTCAAAATATATTTTAATATTTTAAATTTCTATATTATTAATATTAATTATAAATAATTAATTAAATAAATTAAAAATTTAATTATTAATAATAATAATTTATATTAATATAATAATAATAATAATAATTATAATAATTCTAATTAAATTAATAATAATATTTACTATAGTGCAGGATAGCATAAGATATTTACTTTTAGCTGACTTATAAAAAATCTTATAATTTTTGAACAAATAATTAAAATAAAAACTCTCTTATAAATTGATAGATCTTTAGTAAAGCTATAATTCTGTAAGAGCATTTTTTATTTTAATTTTTTTTAAGAAGTTATAATACATTAAATTTTTTAATTTTTATAATAAAATTGTAAAATTAACATAGAGATACATTAACTTTGCATATGATTTTATCACGTGTTTGTGATTTTATTAGTCAGAATTAATTATATTAATTATAATTTAGGCTGGTATTATTATAACACTAATTTGAATTGTATGTGATAATAATGCATATTTTTCAAAGTATTTAGTAATACTATATGCTTTGAAAAGTATGTATTTTGAAGGAGTTATTTTATTATATTAATAGGAGTTGTTTTATTAGATTGAGATAGTTGTTTTATTATTAAGAAATTTGTTTTATTATTCTAAGAATGTCATTCTCTTATTATATCAAGACTTTCAAAGCTTAAAAGGTATTAATAGGAAAGAGCATTTGTAGCTTGCTTGGTCTAACCAGCATATATGAAATTCTCTCTTGTTCTTGATTTCTCCTATAATTTTCTTTCTTCTATTAATTTATCTATAGCTTACTCTCATATTGTCACTTTTCTAAATATTTTCTCTTTCAAGAATCTAGTTGATCTTGATTCAAGCAAAGAATACTTGCATATTGTTACTTCTTCAGATATTTTCTCTTCTAAAAATCTTGTTGATCTTGGCTCAAGCAAAGAATATAAAAATATTAGTTCTGAAAATGATGATCTTGAAGATAATCTTCAAGAGGATGATAACGAGTTAGATAATATCAAGATAAATGAAAATTCTATAATTAATTAACTTTTTGCAGTGATAGTAGCAAACTTTGAGAAAAAAGAATATCTAGCTATTTATGCTAGTAATTTGAAATAGATATAGCAAAAAAAAAATAAAAAATTAAGAGAAGTAGTAGTAGAAAGTTCAAAAATTTTGTAATTCTTCCATATTACTAGCAAAGATATTAAAAATGATAATAATACTGAATTAGAGTTGACCAAAGACAAAAATATATGTAAGATGATTAAATTTATAAATGGAATAATACTTGATAAAATGCTTTCTAAAACTCAAATTACTTATTATATAATAGTTCTTTATTTTTTCTGATTGTAGCTTAATAATAAAAAGAAAATTGAGATAGTAAAAACAGTTTCAGAGGTAGTTAATAATGAGTCATGGCTTGCAAAATATATAAAAAAGTAGGTAAATATTTACATGAAAAAGAAATCAATCTAGCTAATCACTTGAGAGAGATTTCTTTCCAAAAGTCTACTTCATGATGAACTGATTTCTCTCTAATTAGCTACTTATTTATGCATTTAGAAGTTCAAGGTGGATTTAATAATGATCAAGAAATATTTTGAGTAGCACATCCTTCTCTAGTTGAATATTGAATCTGTTTAACATATCTCAATTCAAACTGCTCATTGATGAATGTATAAACTTGATTTTTAGTATAAATATTTTCAAAAAGATATTTACATAGATAGATATGAATAATCTGATGTCATTACCTATTATCAAATTTTTCTTTAAGAAATTATCAAACTTAATCAACTTATATCCAAGTGGCTTGACAAAGATTATAAGATAAGAACTTTTTCATATTTAAATAATAATAAGAAAGAGTATATATGAGTATCTCATGATAAATTAATCTTTCATACTTATGATAGATCACATACTATATGAAATTCTGAAGAAGAATAGCTATTATAAAAAAAAGAATTAGATCTTGATATGTACGTGAATAATTTTTTAACAGAGATAATAGAATTATTTAAAAATAAATAGAAAGAAATATGCATAATGATGATACTTGATATCAATCAAGATGAATTTTGAAATTTCAAAAAACTTCTTGAACAAGTCATATAGATGATAAATATCTTTGAATAAATATATTTGGAGAATGTAAGTATATTTATCTTCAATAATGCTACTTCTCATACAGCTTTTGCTAAAGATATTTTTATAACTTTGAAAATAAATTTTAGTCCAGGAGGATTAGTTTCAAAAATGTGAGATATGACATGAAGTGATAATTATCAATTAATAGTTATTGAAAAAAATTACTTTATTTATAACAAGAAGAAAAAATCTAATATCAACTTGCATAATCAGCCTAAAAAAATCCAGTAGATTCTTAGTAAAAAAGAATTGTGACAAGAGAAAATGGTACTAGAGTATACTTTGTGTAAGAGAAAAGAGGCAAATCCTAATATTATTAATTGTTATGTATATCATTTAATAGCTAATTAGCCAGATTTTCTTGTATAGCATGATCAGATTTAATAAGAAATTAAATCTTGTAAATATAAGATAATTTTATTATCTTTAATCATTCTTTTCTAACTAGCCTAATCTTGATAATATTATTCATTCTTAGATTATATTCTATTCCAAGTTTTATTCTAAATTTAACTATATTAAGATGTATTGGGAGGTAACCAAGAAGTATACTCAATCTCATTACAAGTACTCATCATTAAAAATTAGAGAAATTATCTCTTAAATATTTGATTATATTCTCATGAAGAGAATTCATTCTTTTACTAGATTGTTATTTAGATGAATGAATGCTTATTATCATAGTTTAACTAGAAAAGTAGTAAAATATGTGATTAGGAAGTATAAGAGACATAGATCAATTAATAAAGAGATTATGAATCAGATTAATAAGTTATTAAATTGATAAAAAAAAGCAGGTATAATGAAAAGTGAAGAGTATATTTTGTTATATCTGATCAATATATTAAGAATATGCATTATGATGACAGATATTTTTATTTTTTGGTATGATTATTCTTATTTTACTATGAGAAATATTCTTTATTTGCTTTATCTATATATAGACTAGCAAGTATTAATTAAATAGTATGATAATTTAACTTCTGCTAGTCTTATTATAGAGATTAGCATTGATTTATTATTGGTTACATGATTGATTACATCACTACAGTTCTCGCCAAAAGTAATGGGAATTTTGGATTGGGATTTTTAAAATTTTATTGTTCCACCATTTCTTGTGCAATGCTCCTAATGTATTAAATAGTTTCTTGGGGATGGGTACATAACATGACACTGCATTTTTTTTTCTAAGTTAAATTTAAAAATTTCACTAGCTAGTACATCAAATAGAGGAACCGTCACTTGCTCACCGCTAGAGTGTTTTTCGAGTATTATGGGCAAATGGTGTCCATATGCTGGCGCGTTTGGTTGAAATGATGGGCATACCGAAAACCACTGTATACTATTATGTAGCTAAATTAAAAAAAAATGAAAAAATTGACCCCCTTCCTTATTCTGGCAGACCAGTCAAATTATCACCTCGAAAAAAGAAAAGATTAGAAAATTTTATTAAAAAAGATTGTGGAATTCCTGCCAATGAACTCACAGAAAAACTCAATACTTCCTATCCAAATTTAAATGTTTTGGAATGAACTATTATTAGAACACTGACAGAACTTGGTTGGCAATGTATTCAATCAAAATCTGTATCACCATTAAATCCAGCTCACCGAGAACATCACATCAAATGGGCCAAAAATTACTTGTATCAAAAATGGAGCCGGGTAGTTTTTTCAGATGAAACAACCTTTCAAATATTTCGAAATACTACCAAAGTTTGATATAAAACTGGTGAAGAGCCACCGGAATGCGTTGTTGTCAAGCATCCATTCAAGGTTCATGTGTGGGATGCATTTTCAAAATGAGGAAGAATCAGATTTCATATGTTCACAGATACTATGGATGGAGACCTATATTGACAAATTCTTTCTCAACATCTTGTTGAAGGTGCCAAGAATTATGGGTTGTGGTTGGATTTTCCAACAAGATAATGACCCAAAACATACGGCTGGCGAAACACAAAATTTCTTTGAGAAACTTGGCATAAAATTATTAGACTGGCCATCATACTCTCCAGACCTCAATCCAATTGAGAACCTCTGGTCAATAATGAAGAGACGAGTGGAAAAAAGGGTAAATAAAGCACTTGCACAAGAAAAACAGGTAACTTGTAGCATGTTTAAAGGGTTTATTAAGTCCGAATGGGATAATCTTGAAATCTCAGTATTTTTGAGGTTAGTAGATAGTATGCCGAATAGAATAGGGGAGGTACTGATGAGAAATGGACGTATAACTAAGTACTAATTTTTCTATGGTAGTTACTACAATAGTATAGCATTTTTATTTTTTTGTTTCATATTGTTATTATTTTTTTTAGTGAGCTATAAATAAATATGTGATTCCCATTACTTTTGGCGAGAACTGTACATGTATATTAACACGTATTTATAAGATCATTAATACATGTATGTCATAGATTGTGAAAAAAATTAATGCATTTTTTACAACGATCGTATTATATATCATTATGCGAGTGGCGCGCTAGTTTCGTAAACAGTGAATTTTGCATATCACACAGCGGTGACTACGAGGTAGATTATTGAGAAAAAACTATTACAAATAATTGAAAATTGAACATTCAAGTTTTATTATATAGTCGATAGTCAACTCTCGACCTTTGGTTAGAAGTTAATCGCTTTAAATCGCAGTTTGCAAAATTTTTTTATTGAAAATTTCTCTTTACAGCTTTTTTACATCCTCCACTGGTTAAAACTTCCTGGAGTCAGTCGAACTCGGGCTTGCCACCGAGCCGAACACGGGTAAGCTTCTTCTCATGTATCCTATTCATCAACTCCATATAAGATAGACAGTAGAAGGACGTTCAAAGGAGGCTACTCGACCCATAACCTCACAGTGGCCACGATGCGCTTCCAGTTCTCTGCTATCATCATACTTCTGATGGCAGCGTAACTTCAGATACATATGGTTAGACAAATAATTTAATGAAACAAGCATCTCACCTATTCTGTAATAGTGAATATTCATGCCCGAACTCGTTTACTTTAGTGCATTGACAGAAGGAGCAAATGTGGTCAAGGTTTAGTGTAAAGTTCTGTTTATAATAATTAAAAAGAAGGTTGTATTTACCTATGTTTATTTTTATATTGTTTATGACTAGACCATTATTATAAAACAATTTTAATATATGATTGTCGATTTGTTAAGCGGACTTAATACTTATATATAAGATCGATATACGTATTTCCGTTTGTTATATAAAACGATAGGTTGACTGATTATAAAAATTATGGGGTAGATTATTAATTATTAAAAACGATGATGTATCATATTATTAGATCATTATTATATCATATTATTACAGTATATCATGTTATTATATCTTATATTATATCATATTATTATATCGCGTAAGCGAAGGACTATATATTATTCTGCGGTATGTGAATAGTTGCGATTCTTCTGGATGCGTCATCACTATCGTTCATCCATCATGATAAGATACGCCTCATGACGAGGAGGCACCGTGTGATGAATACTCAACGTAAACACCCATATTAGTACATGTATTCGATAATGATAAAAAACGGTGATCTTCGTAATTATATTATGCATCACCCTGAAACATGTATTAATGTTTGATAATCCTGAAATTGCAGATTTGGACTTAGAATTTCAATTTATATAAAAAAAATCTAACCAAGAAATTTGTGGAGTACCTCCGTACACTTATGCCGCAGATATTTATAACTTTGGAATGGTTGTGTACGAAATTGTAACAGGTGAGCGAACGAACTCATGATATGGATCTTGTATTAGATATTTGTAAGGGAGTACGCCCTACGACACCAAAGAATGTCCCCGGATGGTGCAAATTTATTGAAAATGTTGGGATCCTATCCCAGAAATCAGATCAACTGCTGATAAACTTAGTAACTTTATCCAAGCTATACAAAATCCAGAAGTCAGGTAATGGAAACTGAATTCTTTGCATTTTTCAATGCTATAATTTATTAGATATATTAAAACACGTGAAAAAATTATTGAGTGCCATAAATCAGAGAGACAGAAATTGAAAGAACTTGACGAGAGATGAGATTACAAAAAAATTCTTACATATAAACAAAAAACAACAAAATCACTCATGTAATTTACACCAGTCGACTTTTTACTTCAAAATTAATATCAATCCCAATTGATATAAAATACGCATATTTATTTTTATATTCAATCAAAATGACAGTTTAACTTTATCAAATATTTAGGTTCTACAATTAAATTGTTCCAAATGAAGGTAAATTCACTATATGTACTACTGTATGTAGCATGTTATCTTATTAAATATTAAAAATTCATGTACATGTACTTGTTTGCATGTAACTTTAGAATATGCAACTACTGAATATGATATAGATATCGATGCCAAATCTAATACCAGTTCTGACGGAAATTTAAATTTATATAAAAATAAAATTAGGACTAATCTAAACTGCGGTGACGACTACTTTATTATGGTATAACAAAAAATCAACTGGGAAAGAAAATTAAAATATTACTTATGATCTAGAGAAAAGGAACTTGTTAATAGTGACTTTCACCCTGTGAATATACTATTACATATTGATGTTTTTTTTACAGAATGCTTCCTTTATATGAGTCCAAAAGCACTAAATGGAAAGCCGTACGCTAAAACTGCGGACATTTATAGCTTTGAGATGGTTATGTAACTGGAAAACCGCCATATGTAACGAGAATCTAATGTGATCAAACCGTATATTAAAAAAATGTGAGCATGGCAGCAAAAATTTTGATAAAGGTTTGTTTATCAATAAAAATAAAAACAAACCTTCAAAAAATGAACCATCGTTAATTTTTCTAATTTTTTCATTTTAAGTTGGAAAAATCCTGTTTCTAAATTCATATCTGGCTATCACCAACCCTAGAAGTTTTGTTGAAGTAATTGCATTTTCAACACATAACTGCCCTACCTCTCACGCAAACATGATGTTGCTAAGCTGCAATGATTGTGAAAAAATAAATGCCAACGATTTACGCCTAAGTTATTATATTTTCTTTTATTAGCAAAATCAGTAAATGTGCTCATATGCAATAATATATTTAGGATGAATGTTATTAGAATTCACTTTATCGAAATTCAGCTTGATTTATGGCTGCTTTCAGTAACGATTCAGTGTCAAGTAAAAATTTTTTTCTTAAATCATGTTTAGTGAACATCATATATATTTATCAAATATAGAACAATCTGCTTGCATAATTTGAAGTTTAATATTACTAATTAATAGTGATAATATTTAAAATATCTTTTTTTAAAAAAATAATGTTTTTAGTTGTTTTAATAAAGTAATACTTTATTTATTATTAAATTAAAGTATAATAAAATAATTAAAATAGTACTAAAAGTGAATTTAGATTATTTTTATTTAATATAAAACATTTATAAACATTAATTAATATTTAATAATTTTTATTAGAAATAATTATTAATTTTTATACTGGTGTATCAATTTTCTTGTAATGGTCCATATTAATCATATATTTCTGATAAATTTTAGTTATAGTTAACTGATTGACTTGCACTTTTTTGGTTATTATCTAGATAATATAATCTTTCTGAATTAATATACAAATTTTAATTCATTATTTAATTAGTATAACTTTTATTAACAAAAAAAATAAAAATATAACTTTAAATATTTTATTTCATAAAAATCTTAATATATATATATATATAAATCAAGTCAATATTAATAATTCGTAATTAATATAATATATTAAAATAATAAAATTATATATTTTTTAATATAATGTAAAATTTTTTTTAGTAAATTAAGATTTTATTTATATATTTAGTTGACTTAAATAAAATATTAATTTAATAGTATAATTATTATAATTATAATATCTTTTATTTTTAAGACATTAAAATTAAAAAATTCTATTCAAGTGATTTCATAACTATTGGAGCTACTATATTTTAATATGAAATATATTTGTGCTATTCTTAAGAATTATATAATATTCTTATCATTATTACTTTTGTCAGATATTATATATTAAAAATTTTCTTAAAACTTATATTCTAAATTTGATACTTTTAATTATATTTGTAAGATTATTTTATTAATAGTTATAAACAAGATAAAATATAATATGAATAAGTTTTAATTTTATAACTTATGATTATTTTTATTGTTTAAAAGTATTCAGATCTGAGGCTAAAAGTACAGAACAGAGAGATCTTATTTATAAGAAAGAAATGA